CTTCATCAGGTATGCTGTGTGTTCTGGGGAGGGTGTAAAATTTTGGGAAGATGTTTGGATTGGATGTTCAACTTTCAAGGATTTGTTCCCTTCTCTTTATTCTGTCTCTTTGTATAAAAATAAGTGTGTGTCAGACTTTCTTACTCCTATTCTTCCTAGGAGTCACAATTGGAATTTTGGGTTCCAAAGAGGGTTGAGAGATGCTGAAATTGCGGAGCTGAATGGGTTGTTGCTACTTCTTGAATCCATTTGTTTAGATCCTACTAATCTGGACAAGTGTATCTGGGTTCCTCATCCTAAAGGGTCTTTTACTTGTGCTTCCTTTCTTTAAATCTCTTTTCTTGTCCTCCCCTTCTCAGTCTTTCCCTGTGAAGGAAGTGTGGTATCGGCCTATTCCTATTAAAGTTGGAGCTTTTTGTTGGGAAGTGTATCATGGGAAGATTAACACTGGATATGCTACAAAAAAGAAGACCTTTCATGTGCTTATCCCCAAACTGGTGCACTCTATGTAAATCAAATGAGGAGAACTGTTTCCACTTACTAATTTCCTGTCCTTTTGCTGCAGATATTTGGGAATGACTTCTCTTTGTATGGTTGCAACCTTGCAGGCGGGCCTTGCCAACAGAGGTAGATAAGTCTTTTGACCCTTTACCTTAATTTAGCCTAAAAAGAGGGGAAGGATCATGTGGAGAAGTGCTAGAGCAGCAATAATTTGGACTTTGTGGGAAGAAATAAACTATAGAATCTTCTTAGGAAAGGAGAGAAGTAAAGAAGAGGTAAGAGATTGCATATTGGTGAGGATGATACATTGGCTTAGGAACCTGGCTTCTTTCTCTCATTGGTCCTTTGATGATTTATGGAGAAATTGGAAGGTAGTGGCGAAAAGCTCCTCCTCAACAGTAAAAGAGAAGGTTTTGTGGACACCTCCAGCTGAAGACTTTGTGAAATTAAACTTTGATGGGAGTAGCCAAGGTAATCCAGGTCCCTCAGGTATAGGAGGAGTGTTGAGAAACAAGGAAGGAAGCATTATGGCTCTATTCTCTGGTCCTGTGGGATCGGAGGACTCTGTGATGGCAGAACTGCTTACTGTCATGAAAAGGGTACAGATTTCAAATGAACTGGGTATAACAAATTTGGAGATTGAAGGGGATTGAAAGCTGGTAATTGGTTGGTTGAAAGATCCAGACTCGACAATTTGGTGTTATAGGGGTGAGATGAAATTTAAATGGCTAACCAGGAACATGAACTTGAGAATAAATTGGGTTAGGAGAACAACTAATGCTTGTATTTGTCTCAGTTAGCTAAACAAGGGGTAAACAGGGATAGCTTGTATTTGTCTCAGTTGTAATTGATTTCTGTTTTTTTCTCTGTTTTTTTTAATGTCCAAGTGAGAGGTAGCATCTCGTGCCTCTCTGTGGGAGGCTTGTATTGTTTATTTCTTATGACTATTAATATACAATCTTTTTACTTATCAAAATTTGTAAGAAAAATAATCTATAAATGATTATACTTATTATCACATTTTTTTTGATCATCAAAGAAGAATTTTATTTGAAATTAAATTTAAAAAGTTTTACAACTTTGTGTTTGGGACTAGAAATCCCATACTATTACATATTTCTGTTCCTTTTACAATGCAGCCCAAAACAATTGTTGCCTCAAAGCTCCTTGTTTAGCCCCTTGTACAATGCTAGCCCATTTGTACTCCTAACCCATTTGAATTCTGCCTCTACCTCCCTTGCAACATTTTCCACTTCCCTTATCACTTGTTTGAAAGTCCACTGAGTAGTTCTATTGTTTTTAGCCCAAGAGATGATCACCTTGGAATCCCCTTCAGCCTCAATATGCCTCATTCCTAGTTGCTTGGTTATCTTCAATCCTTGTAGCAATGCCATTAGCTCAGTTTTTAGAGAATTGCCCATGCCAATAGGTCCAGAGGATAATGCTAATATTCTCCTTTCAGAATTTTTGATTACTCCCCCGATACCTGACAATCCCGGATTTCCAAATGAACTTCCATCAAAATTCAGTTTAATTCTGTTACCATCTGAAGGTTTCCATTCCGTCCTTACTCTCTCTTTCACTCTTGAAGATTGTGCTATTTCTGTCCAGATCTTATAATGTCTGTGACTAAGAACTCTTGGAAAATATGCAAAGAGCTTACCCAATGGGCTACTTTAACTTTAATTGTGTCAATTACCTCCTCTGTTGTTCTACTCTTGTCTAAGAATATTCTGTTATTCCTTTCTTCCCATATTGCCCAACAAATAGCTGCCTTTGTAGCTTTCCACATAACCTTCCCTCTTTTCTTTGATTGCCTCAAAAAGTCTCGGTTGAAAAGTCCTGCCACATCTTGAGGGGAAACCCACCTGCAACCAAAGAGAAGACAAAAAGATTCCCAAATATGATGCACAAAAGAACAAGATAATAATAGATGTGTCAAGGTCTCACCACTTTCCTTACAAAGGAAGCACATGTGAGGAGAAAGGCAAGCATAAGGCCTTCTTTTCTGCAGCATATCACACGTATTAACCTTGCCAAGGAAAATTTCCCAACAGAAGGCTTGAATTTTTGGGGGGGATAGGCTTACTCCAAATTTGTTTTATAGGGAAGTCCCCAACCGTGTTATCACATTTTTGAACCCACATCTTGTGTCTAATTTTATCCTAAGCGTTTGGGGCTCTATATTCATATATTATAGATTTGATAAAGATAAGAATCCCCTCAAGTGTCATGATGGCGTCACTCTCTACATATTTCTGACATTTTTTCGATAGTAAAGGAAAAGAAAAACATTATTAAGATAAAAACAGTAATACATGCTCACTATGGAGTTTTCACCAGAACAGAGATCTCTTATGATGATTCCTTACAATAGAAAACATACAGAAATAAAAAACTGAAATCATTCAAATTCTGCTTAAGACTCCACCAACCCATGCTGATTGTAATTCTATTCTACTGATGTTTTTAAACCACCCTCATTGTATAGGGTCATTTTTGTAATTTTGGTTGTTTTCTTAATGTATACAATTTTTGAAAAAAAAACAGAAAAAAAATCCTTATGACCAATGCACCAGTCTACCACCACTCGCCAACTGTGTCTTTGTTCTTCAAAAGTTCATCTATTTCTTTATTTCCACACTCCCCAGCAGACTGCAAAAGGAATCACACTTCATGAAATCTTTGCCTTTTTTGGCTCCCACTGGTTCTAGGCCAATGAGATAAAAATTCAGATGACTGATTTGGAGCTGTCCTCTGCCTCTTCAAAGTTATAAAGAAAAACTCCCAAGTGAAATCCACAAAACTGAATTTGCAAAATAAATGAATCATACTGTCCTCTTTTCACGTTACATGCATATTAGGGAATTTGAAGGCCCCTATTCTTCARGTGATCCACTGTCAGAATACTATCCATTAGACCAGCCATGCAAAGGCTTCCTGACTCTGAGGGATGGGATTACCCCCCTGAAATGGCATCTTTTCCCCTCTAAATTTCTGACCACTCTACCATAGAATGGATTAGTTGTGAAATTTCGGTTCTTGCTTTCTTCCCACTATCTCTCAAGTGTCATCTGGTTCATTGTTTTCCATTTTAACCACTTCCAGTCTAGTAATCCCTAATATACATTCCTCCACACCTGAATCTTGGACATCACACCACTTGATCTCCTCTCCTCCCAAAACATGGACTAACCATTATTTCCTTGTCACTTATCCTACCATACAGCCTTGGGCATAATTCATGTAACTTACCTTCACTAAACCATTATCCTCCCCAAATCTTACATTTTAACACTCCTCCTCTAACACAAACTTCATATAACTTTTAAATCCCAACTGGAAAATCATAAGTCCTTTTCAAATGCTTACTCCATATGTAGAAGTAGTTTCCCTTGTGCCCCACCCGAACCTCACCATGCCATACTTGCATCCCACCACTCTTCTCCACAACACCCCCTTTCCTTCCCAAATCTCCATAACCACTTGGACAGCAAGGCCTTATTGATTCTCTTACTCTCCTAATGTCCAATCTACCTTGATTGTTTTGGTCTGCTTACTTTCTTCAAACTCAAAAATGAAATCTTTTTCTTTTTCCTCCACCTTCCACAGAAAATCTCTTTGAATCTTCTCAATCTGATTATTAATCTCTGATGGAACCTTTGATAATGATAAATAATAAACTGGTATACTGGAAATTGCACTCTTAATAAGAGTAATCCTTCCCCCTAGAGACAGCTATTTGTATTTCCATGTGGCTTATTTCTTCCCGTCTATCAATACTTGAGGATGCTTCTTTCACTCCAATTGGCATTCCCAAATATGTGATGGAAAATGGCCTATCGTACAGCCCAATTCCACAACACACTTAAGTAAAGAACCCTCTATTTTCCCCACCCTACCATCATGCTCTTATTCAAATTAATCTTCACCCCTGATAAGCCTTCTAGGTTYATAGTAGCTTTAAGAGCCTAAATGTAGCCTTAATGAAATTTAATGTGTCAGCACATTGCAAGTGTGAAATAATTATTCCTTCCACACTTACTCTAAAAGCCTTCAACAAATCCTCTTTACCCATTTTTGTTATTTTACTTAGCACTTCCAAAGGAGACTTATGTGTTGTTCATCTCTGTGCTCCTAGCCTTCTACTGTCCTACAGTCCACACAAGCTCTATGCCCTACCTTGTTTTGCAATTTTGCTTGATCAATAATAACCCTCCAAATTTTGACTTTTATATATTTTAAAAGTTATCCATAGAAGAAAGGTTTATTTTAAATACATGGCAAGGTCTTTGGGCCAAAATTTGTTCCATGAATGTAGAGTGAGGAGAGGAACATGAGACTCCTTTTTGGCTACAAACTAGTTATGGTCATACTCACTAATTATTATTATTATTATTATTATTATTATTATTATTATTATTATTATTATTATTATTATTATAGTTCGACTTTATCAGTTTTCCTTGAAGACTTGTCTCTTTTTCTTTTCTACACAGAGAGACCCATTGATGTCACATTTTCGTAGACAGTATCCAGCACGTTCGTTCCAGAACTCTTCAATTCGGTCATCAAACCGTGGTCGAGTTTCAACCTCTGCAAGAATGGCAAGACCGAGAGCTAGCTTTCTTGGTCAATCTCCTATCATATCATCTAGGGAGAGAACTATTGAGTTTCCATCAACTATGGATTTTGAGACGGTATTTCTTCTTATTCCCCATATGCCATTTGATATTTGTTCATATAATTTCTTGTTACTTTTGGCTTCTTCACCAGTCTATTTTTTTTTTCTTTTTCTTTTCCTTATTGATTTCATCAATTGGTCATTTTTGATGTTGGAGCCATAGAGTCATAATTTGATTTCTGTGAATTCAGTACAATTGTGAGGTTGGATCATGCTAAAACTTATTAATGCTCTTTAATCATATGGTGGTATATCTTTTTTTTTGATCAGTAACCAGAAAATTTCATTAATTAATGAAGAAGATACAAGTGAACATCCCGGAGAGAGATAAACTCTCTTAACTCTCTCCAAGATGACAAAAACGTACAGCAATTACAGAACAGCCCAAAAGAGTTGATCCCTTTCCACCCCTTGCTTTGCCAAAACATCGGCAAAGACAATTGCACTCCTTTTAACCCACTGCAACTTGATCTCTATATCTTGAATTAAAGACTTAAACTTCCTCCTTTCATTGACAAATTTGCAGCAGCCAGTCTCATCTTTTTGCAGCCAGTCAACTACCAGCTTTGAATCCCTTCTATGATCAACCTTCTTATATTCAGCTCCTTGCCCTTCCATCACAGCCAAGATTTCTGCCCTCAAGGAGTCTCCCACATCTATTGGCCCTGAGTAAAGGGCAATAACACCTCCCTCCTCGTTCTGAAAAACACCTTCAATACCTGAAGGGCCTGGATTCCCCTCACTACTACCATTGAAATTCAGCTTAATAAATCTGCTAGGACATATGGTGGTATATCTCCATGAAAGGAAATTATGTGTTAGACAATCTGGTACTTGTGGCCGATAGGAAAAATTATAAATTATCTGAAGAACTCTAAGATTGATAGTCTTGATTTAAAATCCTCAAGAAGGATTGGGCATCTTTTTAATTTTTAACATTTTTAAAATTAATATAAAACATCAAAAACAACATGTTCTAAAAATGAGTGTAGTTGAGATGGGTGAGTGACAAGACCGTGAAAGGATGGAATTAGAAATGAGTGAGGGATAGATGATTGAGATGGTTTGGTCATGTGCATGGATGATCAATGACTGCACCAGTGAGGAGTGACTTGGTGCAAGTAGAAGGCTATAAAAGAGCAAGGAGAAGACCAAAGAAAGTGTTGATTGAAGTGGTAAGATATGATCTAAAGACTATCAATGGTAGGACAGGATTTGTATAGCCAACATAAAATAGTTGGATTTAAGGCTAAGTTTGAGTTGAGTTTAAAATTAATAGATCAAAGTCAGGGGGAAGTATAGTTATGCCTTTGATATTGGTTAACAAAATTAGGACATAATCTTCTTTATATTCATCTTCAATAGCGTTCAGAGTATGGTATATTGAAGCCTACTAACTTGTAACCTTCCATGTGCCTAGAAACATTAAGTATATTATTGCAACTCTGAAGATAAGAAATATGTTAATATGCTAGAGGAGGTATGCACCTGTCCAATCCATGGAGTTTAAACCATTCTTCATGATGATACTTGGGTATATGAATATGGTTGGTTTACTTGCCATGACAAAATACTGGGTATTGCATAATCACTTCTAGAGTATATGCATTTCTTTTATCGATAAAAGTATTGTTCTGATGGTTCAGATACAGCCTATTCAGAGAGAGAGAGAGAGGGAGGGAGGGAGAATTTGTCGAATAGGAGAGTCAATCCTTCTCCTAGTCGACCATAACTATTTACTATATTAATGAAAGATGCAAAGTCTAATATGCTCCTACTTAAGAATGGGACAAGTTACTTAAAACAAAACAGAATTGATAATGCACAACTTAAAATACAATGAAAAGACAAAGCTACCCCTACTCAGATGACTCTAACACTCCCCCTCAAGCTAGAGAATATATGTCATATAATCCTAACTTGTTACATATATAGTTCACTCTTCCTGAACTTAACCCTTTTGTGAACAAGCCTGCCCATTGACTACTTGAACTCAAGTGCTCTGTGCTTATCATGTTAGACAGTTTTGTATGCCCTTAGCTTCAATCAGAATGATGTACTTTATGAGTTTATTGTAAATGAATAAAAGTGCATATTTGATTCAT